GGGGCGAGGCGTGGGCGCCAGGTGGCGCGCGCTTATTAGCGCATTCCGCTGGCGCCATCGCCCGCGTGCCGCCGCCCCCGCTGGGAGACTTCTATGTCGCCCTCGGTAAGGGGACCGCGACTGCCACCTGGCAGCCTGAGTGCCTTTCGATATTGTGTCGCAGCCCCAAATCGCAGCGATGTAAGGGTCCAAGTTCTCTCAGCAGAGTCAGACGTCGCTGTTGCTGTATTTAGAGTAAAACAGCCCTGTTTGATTGTATGCTTTTTGCCTTTATTATTCACATTTTCAAGTTAAACTAAGATTGTCTCCGCTTTGTGACGATTCAAACGAGTTTTTGGTTTTTGGTTGTTTATAAATATAGTTTTTTTTCAATAGCAGTGCTTTCCGCAAGAAAACGTGCATTGATTGCGGACATTAATTCGCGCGAGGAGAAATATTTCCCAAATATGCTCTTGTTACCTTAAAGTGAATGAAATATTATTAATAGTGATATACTTTTAATATGCCACTGTCATGTGATAAATTCTAACAATACATTTTATTTATTTGAAATTAAACTTTTATTGTACTACAAAGTAGCCATCGTTTTGATCAGTTTCTGTCGCTTACTGAACTGTACCTTCCAGTATGCAACTACGTCCTTCGAGTCTTGAAGACGAACTCTTTCGGTTTTGGAGGTTGCGAGAGTTTTAAACAGTAACAACATCAAATTTAAATGTTGAGCACTAGATTTGGAAAAATTATTACACACATCAACATTATGCAATGAGTTATTCAACTAGTTAATTTATGTTCAATTTTTAGTTGTGAAAATGATATAGTTTCAATTAATTCGTCTTAATGTCTGTTATTCTCGCATAGTGCATACATTTATTGATATAATATATAAGGAAATATGAAGATCTTTATTTGGAGAATTTAAAATAATGAAAGTTCGGCTCCATGGCACTGGAAAAAAGACTTCTTTAGAGCAAACAGTACGCAGCATGTAGGCAGTTAGAGAAATACCGTATTCAGTTTAGGTAGCAACGTGTATGATTAACGGCGCACACAGTTCATTTCATAAAGCATCAGTTCAATTTAATACTTTCTTATTATCTTACAAAGACATCCATTTAACCTATGCAAACTTTAAGAAAAAAGATGCATAGGATTCGAGAAACTATCAATAGAAATAGGCAAGAACTTACAGAATTGGCTACTATTAACGACTTGAAGATAATGAATACCTTCTTCAGAAATAAGGAAATCAATAAATTTACCTGATTCAATGACACTAAAAGATAGCTAATAGATTATGTTATAGCTAACAGAAAATTAGCGCATCAAATAAGAAATATTCATGTTTACAGAGGCAGTGATAAATCATCTGATCACTACTTAGTAGTTTCAAAGATCTCAGTTATAGCCCGATGGAAGAAAATAATGACAAAACATCATAAAAACGGGAAATCTATGAGCAGAGATATTTACTAAGTCCATCTCTTAAGAGAAGAAAGTATAGGTAATCTCTATCAAGCACGTCTGAAACAAATATTCACATATATCTTTAAAAGATGCTATTAACGCGGAGTGGATCAAACTTAAAAATATTATAAACACGGAAGCATATGAAGCTATTGATAAAAGGACTAAACACAGAAAAAGAAAAGGTCTGAACATCTGGAACGAAGAGATTGCTGATACCATACGTGAAAAGAAAAATGCCTATCAAGAACTACTTCAGAAATCAATACAAGAGAGGAATGAAAAATACAAACGAAAAAGAAACCACGCAAAGTAATTAGTGAAAAAAGCTCATCAAGAATCATGGGAGGAGAATCTCCTCCATCAGCACAATTGAAAATGATGTCCACGATAGGCAGAATCTGGCTTACAAGGTCATGAAACATTTAAAATCAGAGGAAAACGACAGAGCAGAACTAAATGTAATAAAGAAAAATGACTGGATAAAATATTATAAAGAGCTCCAATATAACCCCACTGCAATCGTTGAAGATAAGTCACAATACGACAACCCTCAGATAGACTCTTCGAGCAAACATGAAATGGAAAATATATATACTGTCAACCATGAAAAATAGAAAACCTCCTGGGGAAGATGGTACCAATGCATAACTGCTAAAGTATGGAGGTGAAGAACTGAAGAATAGACTTCTTGAACTGTTTAATAATTGTTGGGAAAATGCCAAATACTTGATGCATGGAAGAAAGCAAAAGTCATCTCTCTTTCTAAGAAAGGAAATGGAAGCCAGCCTGTTAATCAACGCTTTTAAAGTTTACACAAAAATAATTAACGGCTCACAACATTCTCGGGTACGCTGCTATTGGACGAACAAAGTGGTTTCAGGCAAGGAAGATCACAGACATACAATGTGTTTGCCATAAACCAAATAATTGAAAAGAGAGTTCAATTTACGACTATAGTGATGATACAAAAACAAAATAACGTTTCCAACATACTTGCTGAACAATAAACTTTGCAATAAAAACAATACCTTAGTAATAAGGCTAGCAAAGATACACTATTAAAATTGTATAAAGTCATGTCAGTACCACAACTGCTTTACGGATGTCAATAATGAACAATAAGAATACAAGATAAAATGAAGATACAAGCCTCTGAAATGGAATTTTTTCGGAGAGTAAAACGCTGCACCCAAACATGTAAAATAAAAAAGTTAAGATATAACACATGAACTTAAAATATTTTCTGTCAATGAAAAAATTACTAAATACAGATCACCGTGGGTACAGGGCTAATTCCACTTTGGAAGAATCTCGATAGTATCCCCCGACATGCCTTTCTGTACAGACCAAGGGGAAGAAGGGACATTGGCCGTTCACGGCAGAGATGTTGTTATGAAGCCCGAACAGAGAATCTCCTTAACCCTTGGAGTGAAGAAGAAGTATAGGAATAGAGATTTTTAATAACTTGAATTTTTTTCGATCGCATTTCGATTATCATTAGCGCTAAAAATATATACAAGATTTTATTATAAACATTATATTTAAAGATTACGACCGATTCGTATATGTATGAGGAATGTGTGTATGTATGCACGATCTGTTTTGATTTCACCTGTCATATTTCACACCATAAAATTTTGTATCTTGAAGTATACATTTTCTTTTCTGGTGATGATTATCGCTAAGCGATTATAAAAAAACTTGCTATCTAGACAGCTTTTTTTCTTAATTTATAAAAAGGGTATGAACATCACCAGCAATACATTGCATATGCTAACATAGGTGTACCGGGAGGGATGGCTCATGGCAAGTATGGTCACTGCAGCCCTTGTACCCGGGAGATCCCAGGTTTATGTCTCAACAGTGAAGGGTTTTTGAAAACTAGCTTGTCTGCTAGGTCGAATTCAGTCTGGTGGAGAATTCTAGTGGTCGGACCACTAGGCTAATGCCGGTACACTACTGTAACAAAGAGGCCACGGACAGCACGTGCTCTTTCCTTCCTCTTCCTTGTCCTATTATCACACCTTACTTTCACACACACTAGCATGCACTGCACTACCACACATGCAAGGAGATCGGCCGGGAGAGATCTTAGAGCTTGAGGTGGGTGGGGCGGTGTCCAACTAGTGGGAGATACCTGGTTGTGGGAAATCCTGCAAGCCGACGGTAGTTCGGCGCCGGATCTCAGCAGCCAGCGGAGAAAGACCACCGCCATCTCGCGATCAAAACACTTACTACACTTACGGTACTAATGACCTTCATAGTTGACGTGCCTGGTATCACTAACAATCAATCAATAAAGTAAGCACGCAAGGTATACATTATATCTTCTAACGCTATAGATACTCATTTCTCAGTGCTCTTTCTCTCACTCCATGTGTGTGTGTGTGCCAATTGCGCGCGCTCTGTCGCAGCCTACGTCACACGCAGCGCGCGGGGCCCAGCAGCCGCTAGGGTGGCGTGGCGAGTTGGGGGCTGAGCGGGCCCCACCCCCTCGGCCC